ATATGTATGTATGTATGTATATATGTATGTATGTATGTATATATATATGTATATATATATATATATGTATATAATATATATGTATGTATATATATGTATGTATATATATGTATATATATGTGTATGTATGTACAGTATGTAAATGTATATATGTTTTTTGGGGTTTTTTTTACTGTTTATTTTCTTCGATGGTGTCTTAAACTCTGGTGATTATAAATTTTTTATAAAAAAATATCTATTTTTACAATGTTTAAATGTAGATTTTTATTTTTTAAATGCTTTCTAAATTTTTATGGCATTTTAACTTGTTATATTGAATTTGATTCTTTTATTTGCAATTTTGTTTTATTGTGTGTTCATCATTTTGTATTTTCTGTGTGTTGACTTTTTATTAACTTTTTTTTATTTTACGTAGTGTATCAAACAACAAATTTTTAATTATATAAAAGTTTTTTAATTTTTTTTAATTTTTTTTTTTTTAACCATGGGAAAATATCCATGGCTTTAAAGCCATAGGCTCCGCAGGAAATATTTTTTTTCATATGTTGTACAGTAGAACTGATTTTCATAAGACACAAAAAACATATTTGACGAAAATCTCAAATGTGGTTAATAAACAGGGAAAACGGGGTGTAACCACCCTTTTTTCAACATTTTTTAATTATTCAAAAATCTGTATCGCATTAACTGCTTCCAAGTTTTCATAAAATGCTTTTCATGTCTTAGAAAAATGAGTTCTACAACTCGTTCTACAAAATGAGTACAAAACAAATTTTTCCTCCGGAGTCTGTCTTGAAAAAAAAAATGTGAGAAATCAGAAAGTATTCAAACTGTCTTTACTAGTCAATTGTCCATGAGTCTGTTGGTGAATACAGTATGGTAACTACCCGGTCAGCAGCATGCTGACTGAGTTTTGTTTCCGAGCAGTTTCTTCTTTCTTTCTTTTTTTCTGGCAACATTTTAAAAAGCTACTACTAGTGGAAAACTACTGGACCGATTTAATTAAAACTTGGTCAGTAGGACTGGTGCCACCCCCCATTTATGTGTTGTTCACAACTTGGGGTCAAAAGTCACATAAGGGGCATTAGACATCAGGTTTCTATGGTGTTCAGAGATTTACGGTCAAAGGTCATTAAAGGGTTATTTTTTGTTCTCTCTAGTAACATTTCAAAATGCTACTAATGGTAAACCATTGGACGAAATTCAATCAAATTTCGTCATTAAGAACCGGCGGCACCTCCTACACCCCAGTCTGGGATCATGGTAACATAGGGGTCATCGGGGTCAAATTTTCAAAAAACTCCAATTGAGCTCGAATTTACAAGGAATGATCCTTAGGACCTTCTAAACTTGAAAAACAACTCTTCACCTATAGGTCAAAATTCACAAGGGTCACTATAGTGAAAATTATCAAATCATAATGAAAACTTGAGGACGTCTGCTCACTGAACGGTTCACTGCACACATTAAAACAGTAAATTAGTCAAAACCGGTCCCCCTTTTGTCACAAAATCGACTATATAATTCGAATGGTTTCATTTGGCAATCTGGGGCATTCGGATTATGAAACTAGATGTTTTAAGCTTTATCATCTATATATTTTTACAATTAATGCAAAATTGAGTGATTATTTTTCTTTAAAAATTGACTATCTCTTATGCTTTTGCATAGGATAAAAGGTTAAAATTAGAGTGTTTTTTGGTATACTTCCTGCTTCTTTTTACCATAACTCTGCAACGACAGGTTGCTAAACTTCAGGGTGAACGGTCAATTGTAGCTCATAAATTAAGCTTTCTTTTACGATGTAAGTCATATGCTGGTTGCTTAAATAACCATTAATCATTTTTTCTTTAATACAATTTTGTATTTAGAACTGTTTTTACCCTGTCTATGAATGACGTCACGCACTTAAGGCCAATAGCAGCTATGAATTTCGAGTTTTCTGCGGTTAGTGCGTTCATTCATAAGATGTAGGTCAAATTTACCTGAATGAGCTTTTGTCGCAAATAGAGGAAAAGTTTTCATTATGATTTCTAGTGAGTAATGATGGACTAATTGCATTAGACAGACTCCTACCAAACATGGGGTGTTCACACAGGTTGAGCTTAAAGGTCATAATGGTTATCTCTTAGAAAATGACTGGGATCATGTTCTATTGAACATAGTATCTCTAGTCTATCTTTATATCCTACCGCTCTTTGTAAGTGTAATGGAAAAAGCAATCAATTCAGAGAAAAGTAAACAGATGTAATAATAAAAGCTATAAAAGACATTGAATCTAATTTCAAAGGGCACACAAAATGCATACTGAAAAGTACGGAAAAATGAAGGTTACCAAATCTATTAAACAAAATATAAGAATACTGCCCTCTATTTACTAGTTACCAACATCTGGCAATCTCTCATGAGCTATATCAGCATAAAGGTGATTTAATCCCCTATTACCATACTCTACTAGAACAAATCCCAAGGACGATATTCACTGTGATGTATTCGATCAATTTTTGTAGCTGTTAATACACTGTACAGTACCCCAAAATTTTGAGGTAAGTGCTAGGTAAATGATTTATCCACTAATACACTGGACTGCTTTGTTGAAATGCCTTTTAGTCTTTTTTATAATCATGGTTGTCTGTACTGTGCTTTAAGCTAGTGTTTGTCTTCACAATAATAACTAATATTCAAGTGGGTTTTTTTGTCGTTTTATGGCATTTTTGCTCTCTATTCATTGTTAGTCGACTACAAATTCCTCTTCATGCGTTTAGTTTAGATTTTAAATTGTACACTACAGTACTTTTTCAATTATAATGTAACAGAAGTTCTTAGCAAGAGGATTTATTATATAATATAATAATTATATAATTATTTATTGTTATGATTATAATAGGTTGTCTGTCATTTATGGATGGCTAAAAATATCTGTCTGCTGGGGTGTTAAAATATTTTTAATAGTTATTAAATAAATACTAAGTATTGTCATCATTATCAACTATAAAAATTTAATTAATTTAATTATAAATATTTAACATTAATATTTAATGTCATTATCATTAGAGATATACTCTCTCATGACTAATAAACATTAATAAACTTTTTAGCTTCAAGTGAAAATTAAAACTTGAGTAAAAATGTACTTGCCGCTTGATGGATATAAAGTATAGCATTTCTGTAGTCTTTGTCATACATTGTTGAATTTGTTTCGCAATATAAACCGTCTTGTCTGCGCTCTACTAAAAAATCATTGCTTGCTGTCCCCATATTGTGTACAAAGACATAAGGAAAACATACTTTCACCTTTTTTGCCTCTTCCCTTTGGAATGTACTCCCTTTTTCTTAAAAATTCACCAACTGTACACATTTTAAAGTTAATTTTAAAAAACCTTGAAAATTAATTGCACCTTTGATCATTTTTAAAATTAGCACATTATAAATTTATTACAGTATTAGTTTATACTCTTAAATTTCTACCAGCAAACTTTAAAATAATTTTAGTAAGTTTTATGAGCGATTCATTCATTTTATAATGGTTTTTTTGTTTTATTGATTTTTTGGGTAGCAACCTATATAAGTGGTTATTGATTGTGTTTTGATTTGGAAAGCGTAGTATGGCAGTAGTGCCCCACAAGTTCCAGAGCCTATGATATCAACTTTCCCACTTAGTTACTGATTACATATACTAATATGTAAATGTGTTGTAAAGCTGTTTTTATTTCCCAAATGAGGTATTATCACTGTCAACTACAATACGGCTTTTATTATATCCCATTATGCTAATGGTGTTCATGGCTAGTCAGGCTAGTGTATCCAACAAAAATTTGTCATTAAAACAATAACAAACTTGAAGATGCCAGAAAAGGATATTGCTACACTGTATTTAATGTTTAAATTATACCATACTTTTGTCTTTGTATTATATCTTTATGTAGCTTTTCACTCACAATTTTAAAAGAACTTTTTTTAGTAAAAAGTCTGTAAATCAGTTATTTAATTTGATTGATGACTGTAACATATTTGGATGAAATTACCAGGTTAGTGTCGGGAATGAAGCATTGGTAAATCCCAATTCCAAAATAGCATTCCACTCTGAACTCTAGTCAATTGATAAAATTTACAGAATATACAAAAAGATATAGACAAAATATAAATACAAGAACTTAAAAGTAAGGTCCATAAAACAGTAAAGGAACAGCGACAAAATCATAGGAAAAATATTTAGCAAGAAGGCTCCGAAGTTTGGCAACATCATCTTTTTTTGGACTGTTGGGACAAGTGTAAAAAATGGATCACAGTTAGACCCACTCCTACCTCCCAACATAATCAGGACGCACTGTACATTCATATTTTACTGGTGAATAGATTTTAATGGCCTCTTAGTAATTTTCTGGGGGTTTTTTTCCAGTCTTATTTACAATTTATGGTGTAGTAGGAGTTCAATTGAGTGGGACACCAGTGGTGGGTCCAGGAATTTGAAATAGTGGGGGCTCAGGGAGGAACTTTTACAGATCAGATGGAGGTTCTACACCAACTCAGCCACACCATGGTTGGAGCTAAGTAAGATTAGTATTAAAATGTATGATTATGCCACCTCTAGATGGCTGGAAATGGTACTCTCAGACTTAAGTTTGAATAATTATAATTTTTTTTTCTCCTTTTTTTAACAATTTGGGGGGGGGGTGGGGGTGCCAGGCCAGGCCAGCTGACCACCTCTCCCCCCTTTGAATTGGCCACTGTGCACTATTATGAATTGTCTTGTTAACATTAGTGCGTGGCTTACTGATTAGACTCGGAGTGATGGTATTATTGATTGTAACAGGTTTTTAAACAACATGCCCAGCCATCTGTTGCAGACTAGCATTGATTTGCATGTATTATCAATGCCACTTTGTTACTAGACAGTTAATTAGTAATAGCGCAGTGGAGCATATGGCCAAAAGGGGCGGTTAATATATGTAGGACGGTTAGCACTCATCTACTACCCTCATGTATGGTAGAGAGATAGGTTAGTATACTTACATCAATTTTTATAAATTATTTTATATAAGTTATTAATTTTCAACTGTTAAATGTTTTTTAATTGGACCTTTGGCATTGTTAAGGTGTGGAGTGATGAAATTGTTTCCGGCTCTTCATTGTTTTCCTCTTGTTCCTTTTAATAAAAAGATTACCAGCGTGCATTTCCCACACGGATCACAGGGAAGCTACAACAATATAGGCTATGTAATAGCAGCTATTAAAGTATTGTCTGCATTCGTATTCTAAAAGTTTACTCTTCATTATTCAATTAATTGCTGGCAATTGAGAAGTGTTTAGTTTATTACATATTATGACTACAGATTGAAAATTATAAGTGAAATTTATTATAATTTAAACTATAGTCATGTCTTGTGTTATGTCTTGTGTAATCAAATTCATTTTCTGTCACTCTTATTTATTTTATGTTTTCTTTCAATGGTTGTTTTCAGTGCTTTCTTCCACTTTTTTTATTATCTTTCCTTCTTTTCTTTATGTAGATTCTTCATTGTTTTAGCGTCTTACGCTCTATGCAAAACTGACCAATCACAAGCCAGCTTATCCTCTTACTAGGTTCCTGGTTTGTAAGCTCGTTAGAGATGTCGAACAAGAAACGAGCCGCTCCGTATTATGATGATCCCGAGGCTACGACTAAGTTTCTACAAGAGGTCAACGAGGATGATAGCGACGAGGAATGGAATTTAAGTAAGTCATAGAGAAGATAAGCATTATTTTTCAGTTTGTGGGTCAGACAACAGACACTGTATATGTGGCAAAGACAAGCCAAACCAGTCACTCGTCACAATTTGTGTTTCGTAAAACATGCTGAAATGTCAAAATTTTTGAAATCTATTTATTGCACTAAACTACCTTTATATACAGTATATCTTGCCATGCTGTTATTTTTCCCATTTTCAATGTTAAAACAACAATTTTTAACGATTTGGTGATGGTCTCTGCCTGAGAAATGCCCGAAATCATAAACTTTGAAGGCTGATTTCTCAAAAATTGTTCTTTAAACAGCTTTATGTTTGAATGCTTGTAACTTCATAAGGAAATGTCGTATTTAAATGATTCTTTTACCCTTTTATAGCTCTCATTTTACTCATTTTTAACCCTGTGTCCCGGGGAGGGGGGTTTACTTGCATACCAACCTTACAGGGGTGTGCAACAGCCACTCCAAGACATGAGACACTTGCACTACCAATTCTACCAAGGGATACGTAAAATGGATGTTTTACTGTAATAAAATTTGAATAATATGAAAGAATTTAATGTCAAAGAGAGCAAAAAATGTATTCTTAAGTAATGTTTCACATGGTTACCACAAAGGACCCTTAATAACAACTAAAGATACCTTGTGATTTTCTTATGAAGGGACCTTAATTAGACTTGAAAATTAAATTATTGAAAATAATCAAAAAACACTACATAGCTAATGTAATTTGATACAACAAAAATAAACATAAATACAGTACAACTAAAAAAAAAATTAAGTTGGGGGTGGGGGGGTGATTAAACATTACTGTATTATTATGTGGTATATAATTCGGACAGAAGTCGCCATGCATTTGTTAAATATTGTTTACAATCTATAATTTGACCTAAAAGGTCATCATATAAGTTATATATTATTCTCATACAATTGATTTTGAATTTCTGTAAATAATTTAACTCTAATTTTATCAAGTACTTCACTATCAAATATAGTAAAAAATGGTCTTCTGTTTCTTTTTATTTTCTTTACATAATTTACAAAATCTATTGTTGTCAGTTGACCAAAATTCTTTTCTGGCTTCCTGTTCAATGGAGTTAGAGAATATTTTAAATTTCAAGTTGATTCCGTAAAAATCTAAATTATAAAAGATATGGCTCGAATTTAGAGTTTGTAATCCTGGTTGGGGCTACTTTTTTCGCACTCATAGAATTCTCCTTTATTATTTACAATTTACAATTTATTTGTATTACATCTTCTATTGTGAAGTGTTGCCATTAGATTTTACACAGCTGGCAGATAGCTCAATAGAGCACGATTATGTATAACATCTGGAATACAGTTCAGTGTTTGCCTAAATAGTGCTGCATGTGCTCTGTTATTTACTCTATTGTATATAGCAGATTGTACAGTAGTGAAGAGCATAATTCATTGTGCTCTTATTTACAATAGATACAATAGAGAAATGCAGTAAACCATCTGATGTGTAGTGTTGCATCAAAACATGTAATTCTTAACATTGAATGATAAGTGTAATCAAACATTGCATTTAATAATGTCATTATTGAATATTATATGGAGGATATAAGGAGGATATGTAATATTGTACAATGAGGATTGAAATTTAAAATCCAATAGAGTAGTTTAAAAAACAAAGATGACAATCATTTAATAGGATTGCAGTGGCAAGACAAACTATAGGCTTAGCCCGACTAGTCTTCAAAAATAAATTTTACGCACTGTTTTTGGTTCAACGTCGTAATAATTTATGTACAAAAGTGCGTTCTTCAGGCTTATCAGTTCATCGATCCATGGAAGAAAGATTACCTAACTAACTACTCAGTATTGTTGGAATATAATAATATATTGCCTATTTCTTTCTTAGCTTTCTCTTTATGTGTAGGCCAAAGAATGCGATAAAATTACCTGTCCTTTTTCAAGAGGGGGGAATTTTAAAGAACTTCAAGGCCATTAAAAGACTCCTCAGAAGTCGGGAAATCTTATTTCCGGCCATCTTGGACCCCCTTTCATTTTGGAATTTTTTTGAAACATTTTAAACCCTCTCTTTCAAATCCTGGATCCGCCCCTGGGATATGGTTGCTCTACTGATCGAGCCTCAAAACGAAACATTAGAATGATAACAAAATATCCTCTACTCTAGACACATGGAGGTCTAATAGACCTAGAAGCATGTCAAAGGTCAGAAACGGCATTTCCGGTTATTTGTTAGCAAAATGTTCTATTAGAGCAAATAGAAATATGCATGTTCCGAACAATTTGGCATTAAATTCAACTCTCTATCACCTGTGGTTGCAGAGATACAAGGTCCTTATAGCTTTGACATTTGACCCTAACCTTTCGACCTTTCACCACATTTTGAAAATATGTTACCAAGCCAAAAATGATTCTTGGACCACCCTGAACCAATTTCTGAAGTCAAATTCTCTGCACCTCAAAGTGCATACTAAACGTCTGCCTCCTACGGTAATAATGAAAAATGAGGTAAAATCTATGTTCCAAATTAAATAAACAGCAATGTTTTAAACATTATTTTAAATGTTACTGCATTCATCATCAGTATTTTTAAGCAACTAAAATTCCAAATAATTTTTAATGACAATTAATATTACATACATATTTTCTGTAATATTTTGTTTGTTTTTTTACAGCATCATTAGCCAGAAAGTCGGATCAGGATGTAATACAATACACAAAACGTGAGAAGTGCCTTACGTGGATCACCTTTTTCCTTCTAGTCATATTAATCAGTCTATCAATTGCCATTTTCTACATTATATCAACGCCACATATCGTGAGTCATCATTTTTTTACATTTCTTAATTATCCAGAAAATTATATGATTTACAAACTGTACAATCAGAAAGTATATAAATCGTAAATCCTACCTCGTGAAGTCACATGATCTGAGAGCAATCAGAAGATCATGTGATCAAGGAGTAATGTGATCTATTTTACTATAAACTATTATAAACTAAGACGTTACAACATTTAAATTTTTTATTTATTTATTACAAATTCTTCACAGATAAAATTTATTTTGACCAGGAGCATGACTAGAGATAACATGAGTCTAACACATCAAGTCGTCATCTCTAAACCCTGGCCAATAAATATATATAAATATTATAACAATAATATTATAGTACATATAAAAATATAATGAAGTAAATGAGATAAAAAAAAAAAAAAAAATTTGTCCATTCATGCCCTTTCATTACTAACTTATTTCAGATTGGTTGCTATGATCCAGAATGTATAGAAGCAAGTAGTCAAGTTCTTAGTTATATGGATTTTAAGGCCGACCCCTGCACGGACTTCTACCAATACGCATGTGGGGGATGGCTTGAGGCAGCACGTATCCCAGATGGCAAGCCCAAATGGGGAGCTTTTGCTAAAGTATATCAAGATAATCAATATAAGTTACGAAGTGTAAGTACAGTTTTTTAATTCCTTACTGTATTTGAAAATCAAATTAGAAAAGATTTTATCGCAGGATTCATCCTCATTACTTATTTTTATCTAAATATGCTCTACAGTAGGTAGCTACCGTCCACCTTTAAAGAATCTTGATTTTACAAGAAGCATCTCAGAACAATTTCTAATTAATAACTGATTGAGAGTGGGCTTTGTGTTTAAATTACCGTATGTACTCGCGTATTAAACAAGGATTTAAATAGGAAATTACGATCAAATAACAAGGGGTCTTCTTTTACGTGTGACATACAAATTTTAGATTGGTATTGGTACTGGTACTAGTATAGGCATTTATAATGTGTCTCTTCCTTGAGGTTATAAAGCGCAGTTCTTTTCCCTGTTCATTGCGTCCACATCGTGTTGCTGCTGGTAATCAGTGCAGGAGCAGGCAACCCCACCAGGTACCCATTTATATTTCTGGGTGGAGAGAAGCAATGTAGATAAAGTGCTTTGCTCAAGGACACAAGCGAAATGCACATCGAGGGATTAAAACCCGACCTCAAGGTTGGGAAACCAAACCATTCCCACTGCGCCAAACTGCTTCCAAATTCTTTAAATCACATCTTTTGAACGGATCGTAGCACGCGAATTTACTACTGCAGTGAAGCTACTAAAATGTTAGTGAGCCTATGGATGAACACAGTTTTAAATATGGAGAAATAAGATTTTGATGAACATTTAAAATCTCATATCTGTATTACTTACATTTAGCTTCGTTTTTTGCCAGCTAGATGCAGTATCAAAACCCTAAAAAGCAGTATTGTCTTATATGCCCAACATCTTCTAAACCTTGGTTGTCGTCTTATATGCAGATTGCCTTATACACAAGTATATATGGTAAATGATCTTTTTTTTCCCTCGCCAGATTCTTGAAGAAGATGGCAACAGTTACAAAGGTGTTCCATCATTATCAGTGAAGAAAGCTAAGAGCTACTATAAATCATGTATGGATGAAATTAAATTGGATGAAGTAGGGGTAAAGCCTGCTATCGAGGTAAGGGGAGTATTCAGCACTGTATTGTATAGACTTTCCATTCCTGCAAGATACCACAATTTCAGTTCTTGTTATTTGTGTGTGTGTAGAAATATACTTGGCTGTGATCTTTACGAATGTGGTATAAGTGATGTAATGTACTGTAAGGTATATACAAGATGTTATATTAATATTTTATATCACTTTATTCAGATTGCAAGTTCAGTGATGGATTTAAAATTCCTGGATCTGCTACTTCAGTTACAATTACAGTAGGCTGTTTAATAAGCAACCGAATACACAGCATAGCACTTTCCTGACATTAGCCATTATAAAAATAATGGTTATATCATGAACGTCATTGTTAACAATCCTCATTTGAAAATTTACTTTCTTTTTCCTGCTGAAATCTTAACTTTCCATATTCAGCTTCTGCAACAACCATTCAGTTAATGTCATCTCTTCATTTCAGTTAATCAACTACATAGGTGGGTGGAGCCTTATAGCTAATAACAGTGAAGCCAAAAAATGGGAGGAGTCTAGCTGGGACATGACGGACACTCTAGTGAAAATCCATCAATTGAAGGTTGACCCTCTGTTTGGTATGTGGGTCAGTGCTGATGATAAGAACTCAAGTGCAAACATCATTCAAGTAAGTTACATTTAATTCACAATATTTTATGGTGTATATGAGAGAGGGTTACCAAATCCACCAAAAATTCGAGTTTGAGAGTATAAATTAGATGGTATCCCTGACAAATCCATTTTAGGGCATGTTTCTACTGATGAGAAAGAACCGTTTTTAAGAACCATTCTTTTTTTTAACGGTTCTTTGTGGCAGTAGAAACTTTTATTTTAAATTTATTATATTTTCTGGGATTGTTACATCATGGAGAATCAACCTGGTAACTGTTTCATGTGGAGTAAAAATGCAATCCAATTACTAACCAATGATAAGTTAATAATAAGATTTATAAAGCGCACAAATCCACTGCAATAGTGCTCAAGGCGTTACAGGAAGGAACAAAAAATTACCATTTCTTTCTCGATATTCAGTAGAATACCAAGAAAGAACCATTTCTTTCTCGATAATCAGTAGAAACACACTTTAGTTGAAAACATATGTTATGTATGGTAGATGGGATTAATCACAGATAAGCTGGGATTAAACCAGGGATTTACAGTGATCATCCAGTCTATTATATACAACGTAACAACCAGCTTACATGTTACTGTCAATTAATTCATCTTACTTAAATTTATGACCTTGTTTACATGCTCCAATATATTTATAAGATAAAGATAATACTAAATGTGTTTGTTTTTAATGTGTACAAGTACATGGATTCAAGGTGATGAATATTATTTGTAGATAAAACTTGCGTGCATAGCATAATATTCAAGACATGCAAAACATACTGTATATACTCATGTACAGGCAACCTGCATATGAATAAGACTACCCACGAGTTTCAGAAGATTTTGAATGATTTTTGTGTGTCGAGCGTTATAAGACCCCTACTTTATTGTACTTTTTATAGTCTTGATACTGCGTCTATCTGGCTGGCTAAAAGAGAGCCAAATGCAAGACTATTCTTCCAAAATAGTACCATTTTATGAGTTTTTAAATATTCATCAAAATCGTATTTTCCCATTTTTTAAACTGCGTTCATTCAAACTAACATTTAGTAGCTTTATTGCATATAAGATGAACATGATTTAAGAATTCTAAAATTTGTATGTTGTGCGTAAAAGACGAACCCCTGTTTTTCGATCGTAGTTTGTTATTTTAAGCCTTGTCTTTATACGCGAGTGAAATATAAAGCCAATGTACATGTAAATTGTTGTTTTAAATAATAATAATAATACTAATAATAATAAATATTAATAATAATAATAATAATAGTTGGTCTTTTGATGTTGTGATAGTCTAAAAAAATTATTTTATGTAGCTTTCTAAAACTAAACTTACTCTTCAAAGTGAAGCTGTTGGCTTTGAGGTTTTATTTTTATACCATTATTATACTTACAGTTAATAATAACTTTATTTTACTATGAGAAAAGTAAGTGTTAGGCCTACTCAATGAGCTCTCTCTTTCAGGAAAGTTGTATTAAACATTTGTTGGTATTAAGAGGAAGTAAAAATATATATACTTTACAGTATATAGCTTAAAATAAATAAAAATGCTTAAACAAATGAGTAAATTTATAAGTTGTTTCCTCAAATTGAAATTTTCTGAAGTGCTTTCATGCAGGGGAACGGCTTGGTTTCCCAACCTTGTTGTCACGGTTTCAATCCCTCGCTGTGCATTTCACTTGTGTCCTTCAGCAAGGCAATTTATCTGCATTGCTTGGGAACCTGGTAGGGTTAAATGCCAAAATGCGCTGATTAGCTGCTGCAACATTATGGAATACTCCCCCAGGGAGCTGAGTTTGTGTTCCATAAGCGTTTGATCCAATGACTTCAGTAATCATAATGTGAAGTACATAGAGGGCTTACCATAAATGTGCTATACTGTATATAAATATACCAACAATGACCCTATGTCCCACCTACTAATTTTTGCCAAGTTTGAGGTAGTAAGTCACTGCTTTCCTAGAACACCTGTCCAGTCTGTAACAGAAAGCTACCAATAAATTTATACAAAATCTCAATAATTCTGTGTATGTAGGCTTGGCACATCCTGACTGTTGAAGTGTTTACAGATTTCAGCAAGCATATGGGAATCACACAAACTGCCATACAGTTTTAATATTTGCAAGTCATTGATATATTGATACAAAGTGGTCAATTCATTGTGAACTAGTTGGTTATTTGTGAGGCAGAAACCCAACAAAATTTAACCAAGATTTTCTATTTTTCCATTATATCAATATTTTACTTGGCGAATATGGTTATTAGGTGTCAATTTGATTAGCTCAATACAGTCTATGAGTAATTATCACTAATTAAATATTTTGCTTTATTCATTTTAGTTCACGCAAGCTGGAATTGGTTTGAAGGCACCGGAATATTACACAAGTAATGACACGGTTAGTGTTTTTTTTTTTTTTTACAAAGATTTCATAAGAATAAGTTTTTTTATGGGGTATAATAATAAAACTCAATGAGTAATTGAATGATTAAGTGATTGATTGATTGATTCATTGATGTAATCATTGAATAATTAACTGAATAGATGATCGATTGAATTAATACTTGATTGATTTTGATTAAATAAATTGAAGTGATAAGCAAAAAAAATTGTTAGCAATAACTGCACTACAGAATTGAGTTCTTCACATAATAAAAAAAAAATCACCATGAGATATACTAGGAGAATATTTTGCCCTTTAAAATCATCATCTGAATCAAAGCTACATTTCAATGCTGGTGATCATAAATCCATAAAAAAGGGAGATTTAATCCAACAAATCAATTGTAATTTATATATACTTGTATGAAAAAAAACCACTTACAAATAATTTGCATTAAAATGCAGTGTTTGAGACCTGAATTTGCTGTTGAATGTAGCAAGATAAATTGATATTAGTGACCTATACAAAAATGGAATAATAAAAAAAATAAACAAAAGACTATTGAAATAAAAAGTAATAGGAATTGTTAATTTGTATTACAATTACCATAATGATTCCAATTTGCAGTTAGGCCAAGTGAAAAAAAATATTTGTTTTTCCTTCCTAAATGCATTTCAACAGTTGATTTCTTCTTGTTACCTGTATATTAAGTTGTAACTTTCATAATATTCTACTTTGGCCTGTGTCGATCTGAATCACTGTTATCAGCATCATGCCTTGATCTGAAAAGCTGATACGTAAAAAAAGAAAAAAGAGGGCTCCTCCTACTTAGACTGCAGTCTTCACATTCACACTGGTTCATGACCCTTATCACATGGGGGGTTGGTGTAGAACCTAGTTTTCTTGGATGAAGGCTTTAAAGACAGAATCTACTGTACTCTCCGGCTCCGGTGTGCATTTTAAAAACTTGGTTGGTAGTCAGGTCCATACCCTAGTCATTGTGGAATTATGTCAGCATGAATCTACTAGCACCTCTATGACTGCTACAGTAGGGGGCCCCCCACTTAGTTTTGCCACTAAATTAAAAAATTCCAATGTATATCAATATTATGTATTGAAATAAGGGATACTCGCTTATATATTCTGAAAAGGTTGTGCTCCCTCCGTTTAAAATATTCTGGATCTGCCCCTACAGACCATGCCGAAACGCAATTCAGCACAATGATGTTGTGATTTAATTTTTTCTAGTACCTATTTATTTTCATGAAGTTACATTATTATTATAATTTTAAATTGGAATGATATTTTTTTTTTTTTTTATATTGTTGCTGTTGGTTTCTCTGATTTTTTTTGGTTTGATTTCCATGTACTATTTTTAGACACTTCGTGAAGCATACGTTCACTTTGGTGCAAGAGTTGCCGAACTGATTACCTACAATGGAAACAAGCTGGAAGCCAACGCTCATCATGATTTGCATGACAAGACCCACAATGCAATGCGTGAAGTGGTGAAATTTGAAACTGAACTTGCCAAGGTAAGTAAAGCCTGGATAATTTTACATCATTTACATTGTGCTATTTCATGAAGATCAGAGCACTCAAAGCGTGGACTACAATAGCTCATACAGTAACTTTCTTCTCCCCTAAGGGTCTCTTCGTGTCTGAGATGGCCAGTAAACCGGTACCAGCTACACTCGTCTGTCCACAACAGATGGACCAGTACACCAGGGTAACCCCCCTACCCCAGTCCTTTTCCGAGAAGACTTGTTCCACCTCCGGAACCATAGACGAGCGTGCCGTTTGAACGAGCGCCGATGTTATAGCTGTAGGTTGCGGCACCCCGCTTTAACTGCTCGGCCATGCGACTCGCCAAATTAATGAAGATAGTGATAAATCAGATGATGATATTTGATGATACAAGTGATTTTAGTGCATTTATTTCTCATATGCAAAGAAGGTAGCTACGGACAATGAAAATGATAAGAAAAACCTAATATCAAGTTAAATACTTCATGATTACTTGTCAATTGGGCAATACATTCCGGGCATTTGGGGCCATGTTATTTTTTTTTCTTTTGATTGGTATTGTGATAACAAAAATGGGGAAGGTGATTGTAAAGTGAGATGACATAATCCTTAAAACTTCCAAATTATTGTAATTTTTTTTTAATCACTTTTTTTTTTAATCTTGTAGATTTTTGTAGACAAAAATGATCTGAGGAACCCTGAGAAAATTTATCATAAGATGCAGTTTGCTCAATTACAGGATATGGCACCCAATGTAAGTTAACCTCTGACCTTATATAAATTACCATAATGTAATTCAAGTAGAGGATATGGCACCTATTGTTAGTTAACTTCTCACCTAATGCAAAATATCATAAGGTAAAATTTGCTCAAGTATATTATGTAGAACCAAATGTATGTAAATTACCCTAATAATTATGTTGATTGGTAAAGTATAGACACAGTAGCACATTATGTAAGTTATTCTGTACTATTATGTTAATGTTGTATCTCATTGCAGTTAAAATTGAAAACATTTATGAAGAACATATTTGGAACCATTGTGCCAACAGATGAAAATATCATTGTTTACACTCCAACTTACTTTTCAAAACTGAATGATTTAGTAAAAGCGACATCAAAAAAGTAAGAATATTTTGTAATCATCATCGTCATCATCACCTTTGTCATCATCTTCATCATCATCATCATTCCATGTCAACAAAAAAATGCTATCCTCCATGGTCCAGAATTTTCCTGATCTGGTGCATTTTACAGACCCATGAAGCTAGGCAAAGGTAGAACTACGGCTACCTGCAATAATGCAACTTGTAATGGTTCTTATGGTATTCCTGTCAGATTGGTTTGTGCATCACTGTCAGACCAAGCCTGTAGCGTGGGGGGTTAAGGGGGTTACGATGAACCGCCCAAAAACTGGAGAAGGTCCACATTTAAAAACGAAAAATTGATATACTTACAATGTTACAAGCCAAAGGATCCACTTTCTACTGAAAAGAACCTCCCACAAATTGAGTCATGCTACAGGCCAGCAGACCCAGCAATACATTGGGTATAACCCACGTTCATTTATTGGTTGCATTTAATGTGGGTGATTTGTCATGGAACCTTCACTGATTGCTGGGTTTGATCCAGACAGATCAAGTTAGACACCAGTTTTTTTTTGTATGTGAAAAGTTACTTATATATTACTATCATTTTTTTCGCTGGTGTTATATATATTATCTTGGTATCTTTTATTCAACAAAAAAAGTCATTGCTGTTAACAATAAAATGATGTATAATGAAGTGGGACATTAATTTACAAAGTCTATTTCATGAATACTTACCTGGATAACCGACTAATTGCCATTGTTCCCGAATCCAACCAGGGTGCCTTATACGAACTGTCTCCCTAACAATCCTCCTCATTCCCTATTCGACTGTGTTTGACGTTAGAGCTCCCTTGTGACAATAAAATTGTTACTATAATATTTATTTTAGAATATTTACAAATTTTTCAATATTTGAGATTTCATTTACAAATTAAAAAATTACACTTTTTATAAAAATTTCAAACATCATAATATGATTTAAAAATACCATTACTACTATATACAGTACCATTACCATTACTACTATATACAGTACCATTACCATTACTACTATATACAGTACCATTACCATTACTACTATTACAGTACCATTACCATTACTACTATATACATTACCATTACCATTACTACTATTACAGTACCATTACCATTACTACTATATACAGTACCATTACCATTACTACTATATACAGTACCATTACCATTACTACTATATACATTACCATTACCATTACTACTATATACAGTACCATTACCATTACTACTGTATACAGTACCATTACCATTACTACTATATACATTACCATTACCATTACTACTATTACAGTACCATTACCATTACTACTATTACAGTACCATTACTATTACTACTATATACAGTACCATTACCATTACTACTATATACAGTACCATGCAGTATCTTCATTATTTATTATACAATCTCATAGAGGAATTTTTAATAATTTCATACAATACTAGTTGTAGGCCTAAGCCTACACTTTCATAATACTAATTAGGCATAGGAGACTTGAGTGATAAACAAGAAGAGTAGTAGTAACAGCAAAACACAGCAAAACACAGCAAGTAATGTATAGCGCCGCCAGCGGCATTACGATCTGGGGTTACTTTATTCGCCAATGACGTCATTGGCGAATTCGTAAATTACCTATAACTTTATAAAAAATTCCAAAATAAGGATAATAAAATTGATTCATTTTCTAATGAAATATGAAAAATCCCCTCAAAAAAAAAAAATCGTTTTGCGAGTTCTCTTTGAAAGGATTGCCACCTATCTAATAGGACAGTTATTAAGTCGCTATTGGTAAGTATTTGGCCATGTGCCTAAAAGGGAAAAAAAAACAAACAAAAAACAAACAATATTAAATATTAGTTATGACAGTGGTGAAAGAGTATAAAGGATTATATTTATATAATAAATATATTTATATTTAAATAATATATATATAATTATTGCCATTTTTTATTTCCTGGTCGAAGACTGAAGAAATGGTCACTGGTATAAAAGAAGCATTTAGTGAAAACCTTGAAGATGTTGATTGGATGGATGATAAAACAAAACGTGTTGCCAAAGATAAAGCAAACGCTATTATTGATAAGATAGCATATCCAGACTGGATTGAGAGGCCAGCTGATCTTGATGAATATTACAATAAGGTGAGATTTGGACAATTAAATTATCTGTCAAATCATATATTTCTGATTATCCTTGACCAGAGGTGGGCATAGGTATGGATTAGATCAGAGGGCAAATTTTTTATTTAACTCCGAGTACCAGATGCAATTTTTTTTTTTGTATGGTATCGCAGCTCAATTATTTGTTGCAAAGAAAAGCCAAACCAGTCCCTATTCACAGAAAAAAGAAAAAAAAAATACAGGGTTGAAACCAGCCTTCGATTTTTGGGAATTTAACATAAAAAATGGGAATATAAGAACTTTTGTATGATGTATAGATATATAAAGGTTTAGTTAAATCTAATAAAATAAATTTTAAAAATGTTCACATTTCAACATGTTTCAGCTATTATCTCAGAAACACGATTTGCAAGGAGTGACTTGTTTACCTTGCCTTCGCCATATTTGATATAGTAGGTGAAATGTAATCCAAGTTCTAATTTTGATATACATTTGACTGATGGGAAATGCATTCACCTTCTAATACCAAGGTTTAAAGTTTGAATCCTAAAACTTTTCTCATAACTAAAAGTCTCAATTCATCCTGTTATTGGGATGTATAGTTGTTGTTTAATTAAACAATAAACAAATTTGTTTTTTATCAAATGCTTTGCATCCTTTTATTATTTGTAAATATAATATGATATAATGTTGATGAATTAATTGTGACTATTAAAGTTTTCATTTATAATGCAATTTTGATAAATTCATAGTCCTACAAATTGAGACAGCCTCCTACATTACTGCGAACAAGCCAAATCCTCCCTGAAATTATCCCATCTTTCACAAATGAATGATTTTACTACTCTGTTTATTAATTGATTGTCTCCTGGAATTCAGCTGTAGATAGGTAGCACAGCATTGTGAAAAAGATATGTTAAGCAAGCTGTATTTAAACAGATCTCCCAAAAGTGGCTTTTTTGCAACTGCCGTCCAATATTTTATTTTTATTTCATTCCTTTTAGCAATAAAAAAATACAAAAATAAATGTTAAAATAAACAAAATACACAACAAATAACACGCATAAAATTACTTGCTATTACTTACATGCTGTGTGCTATTCCGTACGGAAAATAAATGAATGAATAAAAGAAAATAATATAAATATTAATTACATCAAAAGAATACAAAAACACTCAAAAACATTATTCAATAGAATTATATTAACATATATTAATACTGGTCACATAAACCATTATATTTTTATAGAGCGTAATCCACGAGAAAGACTTTTTTGGTAATATACTGAATGTGCGTAGATTCTTCACCTACAAAATGTTAATAAGGAGACGACAACCTGTTGACAAATCAGAGTAAGTGTTAAATAATTATTATATTAACAATTTTTATAATTTTATAATTTTTTATTACTTAAAAAAATATCTATTATGATTATCAATCATTCAGGTTTGTATAAAAATTAAGACAAACTTACTGAGACACATGGCTACATGTTGTTGCTATATTTTTGAATAGACTTTTGTAGCACACAATTTTATATATAGAAGTAGAAGTACAAGTTTGAACTTGTCAATATTTATCATTAAATTAAATGTTTTACAGTTAATAAAATTCAGAGGTCCTCCATTAAGTAATATAGATTGCTACATGGCAAGGTATTTACCACTTCAGCCTGTCCATAGTATTTGCTGTGGTCATTTGTTTACCAAATGCACCAGTATCAACTGTAATCAATGTTGGGGCAAATATAGTTTTCTAGCTGAAACGCAAGGAGAGGCAGCGATGGGTCTTGAACCGGGGACCTAGAGATCTCCACGGTTCAGCGCACACACAGGAATACGGTACATTGGCAACGGGCAAGGAAAATAAGCACCGCACTGAAGCCTCCAAAAATTGTCGTCATGGCGCTTATTTGCGCATTTACGATTCGATACAATACAGTACTGGGCCAGTTATGAGTGTCTAAAGTGCCGTCTGTCTATATTATTAATGTTTTAATATGCTATAATTTGTTGGCTTTCAGATGGGAGATGAAACCTTCAGAAGTGAATGCCTACTATAGTGCTTCCACAAACAACATTGTATTCCCCATTGGTATATTTCAACGACCCTTCTTTGGCGCCAATTATCCTATGTAAGTTTTATCACTCTTTCATACTGCCATTAAACATAGGCTATGTTTTGACCTGTGAGATACGCCAGGTGTATCTAATGCCGGACATACGTTATTTCAAGGTACAACTAGCAAGATGTCCAGACTTGGTGAATTATGTTACGCTAGTTAAATTATTTGTGCCAAATATATAAATTAGTAATCATGCATTTTATTTCCTGCTTACATCTAGGCTTATTGTGATTGGGTTTAAAATCATTGGTGCATAACAGTTGTAACTCTGTTGCTTACGCTAATCCAGGGTCCGCTGGTGGATTATCAGTGATTGCGCATTAATACTGGGATTCGCTATGCTGTGCACAAGTTCACACCACTCGATTACGCTGGCGTAACTTGTGTCTGAACATAACCTAAAGGCATCTCAATATTATGCAGAATGGCTTAGTTTTTCACTCATGCAGATTTTTAGATTACGAATGTAACATAGCTTATAACTTATGACCTAGTAAAAATACTATTTAAAGAAAATATTTGTTTTTGTTTAATTTTGTTTTGTTTTAATGTGTCATAGGTCAATCAACTATGGTGGTATTGGAATGGTCATAGGTCATGAGTTGACTCATGGTTTTGACAACGAAGGTCATGAATTCGACAAATATGGAAACCTCTTTAACTGGTGGGCAAACAGCTCATTAGAAGCATTCCAAAAAAGATCACAGTGCTTCATTAAACAGTACAGTCAATTTAACGTCGATGGCAACTATGTAAGTTTCATATCAAACTCAGGAGTAAAATATACATAAAAGGTCTGCACTTCTTGGTGAAACTCACTACATACAGGTCTCCCTCCAACCATGGAGGAAATATATTAATATATTAATATATTTCCTCCATGCTCCAACTAACAACCACTTTTGGGACTTTTCAGGGGTTTTTTTATGCAACATATTTATTCTGGATACATATCCAATGAAAGTAAATGTACAATAATAACATTGGGCTTATTCGATTGGTTTATTTCGTTAACTACATTTTTTCATTGAGTATTATTTTCATTCAACTGGTCATAAAATAAACTTAGTTGACAATGAAAATTAATGTTATCCACGGTTAACCACGTGACCAAAACAAATATGGCCAATTGGTCAATTTAGTATGTCCGGTCAATTTAGAAACAACATTTGAGTTAATATAATTTAGATTAAATTTCAGAAAATAACAATTATATATATATACTCACATGAAGTCAAAAAATAAATGTAGGCTAACAGAATTCAAAAACTGGTTGAAAACATTTTTTTTACGATAAACCCATTCCGCCACAAACCGAAGCAACCTTGATTACACAGCGTGTATCGCGGTAACTATGCAGCCATTTTGTTTTGTTGAGTATTTAAAAGTTTTCTATTCGACTGGTCAACTTCGTTAAGTAGGATTTTACCACTGCGCAGGTGGGCGTGGTTTAACGAAGAACAACCAGTCGAATACGGCCGCTGTCAAAGCATACTAAAGTAATGTACCACAAGGTTCCGATTATATCAGTGAAAGATAAAATTATTAAAACAAGGACAAAAAAATACAATACTTAATATTACGCTAAAATAGCAACATAAAAAAAATAATTCATTCAAAAACATGTCTTAAAGAGTGTTTGAAAATTTGATTAAGATTGTAAAATGTATTAAAAAATTTACAAAGATAAAGTTTAAAATTAAATAATTTCTCCATGTGGATATTATTAAAATTGTGTAATTGCAAAAAGTACTTGTAAGTCAATGTTTAAAAATTGAAAGAAACCTTTAATATATTCCTTTTTATGCATCTTTTTAAAAATATTGATTGTTCCAGCCTCTTGCAAAATTTGGGGTAAATTTTATTCCAATACCATGCTCCAGCGATCTTAAATGATTCATTGTTACATTATTGGCCTTTGGTGAGAGAGTTTGCCCCCACATACTATAGTAATACCTATTACATAACAGTTCTATATCATCTTTACGATCAGGAGCATGTATACAATTGTATATTAGACTATTTAAAAATGAATAAACTGAATAGTAATCATGCCTTTTTTCTATTTTGTGAGACTTCGGTTCTTCAATAATTTGTTCACCTCTATATTTTATATAACCAAATTTTTATGTTACCATTTTACTACATCTTTTTTGCAATCTGTTCACTAATTTTATATTTTTTACCTAATTGTTTCCCCATACAGAGCATCCCTAGTCAAGACAAGGTTGGATTGTAGTTTTGTACAAATATATATTCCAAGAACATTTTAAAAATTAATCATTTTTTATTGACTTACAGTTTGATGGAATTTACACCCTTGGGGAAAATATTGCTGACAATGGAGGGCTACTTCTTGCATACAAGGCCTACAAAGCATGGCAGAACAACAACCATGAAACAAAGACTCTGGTTGGTCTAAATTTGACAAGTGATCAACAGTTCTTTGTAGGGTTCTCCCAAATCTGGTGCACATACTACACTCCAAAATACCTCAAACAAGCCATTCTGACTGATCCTCACACAGTTGCTAAGTACAGGTAAAGTTTATTGTGCTGCTTGATGTGTTCAAACTGCTGTAACCTTTTATATATACTTTATGCTATCTGGCTTTCTCTACTTTCACCACTCAGTCTTGTACTGGTAGGCATTTATAATGCGCCTCTTCCTTGAGGTTATAAAGCGCATTTCTTCTCCCTGGTCATTGGGTCCTCAAGCTTTGAGAGTTGCTGCTGGTAATCAGTGCAGGAGCAGGCAACCCCACCAGGCACCCATTTATACTCCTGGCTGGAGAGAAGCAATGCAGATAATCGAAGTGAAATACAGTGAGAGGAATTGAAACCCCCCACCTCGAGGTTGGGAAACCAAACTGTTCCCGCTGCGCCATGAAGGACTAGCGCTGTCTCTTATACACATCTAGATGTGTATAGTTTACAAACAATAATTAAGTCATATGCATATACAAGCATAAACTTTATTAAAAATGCAACCAGAGAAGCAAAATAACAATCCACAAATTTGTATTGCTTATGTAAATAACCTAAATCATAAGATTTACGCATTTGTAAATTTCTAGATGCTAAATCTCCAAAGAGTGTTTTTTAACTTTTGTGGTTTCCTACACGACCATTTAATTGATCAGAATGCACAACAGTATTATATAGGGGTATCATTGTTCAATCTCTGCGCAAGCATAAACCTTTAAAGTATAGCCTTTTATGTAGTTCCATCCAGTGTGTGTAAAATCACATGAAATTTTTGGGGTTTTTTTTGCAGAGTAATTGGTTCTCTTTCAAATTCCAAGGAATTTTCAGAAGCATTTAAATGTTCATCTGACAAGGCAATGAATCCAGAAGATAAATGTAAACTTTGGTAGGGAGAAAAGGTCAAGTGCCAACTTTATGAACTCCGCAATTGAGAAGGAGTGCTTCCAGTCACCTGAGCGTCAGGATGATCATCATCATTATCTTCTTAGGAAGCTGGCCATTATCTCGGTTTAGTGTTTCAGATACAACAGACAACATTTGTTCAATCATCATCTTTTTTGGAAGCTGGCCATTATCTCGGGTTAGTGAGTCAAATACAACAGACAACATTTGTTCAGAATTTGTCTGATGATACTAATATAAAATTGTAATTTGACAATTCCAAGACAATTAATATTCAAATAAGTGAGTTTTTTAAGACTGATTTGAAGGCTGTAACAGAATCAGAATGTTTAGTGGAAGAAAGCAGGAACTGCAAAAGTATGTTGGCTAACATTAATTTGGCTGAAATATTTAGTGTTGGAACCGAAGATATTATGAATCTAACAATTTTCTACTTTATCAGAAAAAGTCTGATGAAACATATCTATTGGAGTCTGACAGATCAACATTTGAAAGTAATGGACCTTTCCAGAGTTCAGTCAAACCAAGCTACTGACTAATGAGAACAGGGCCAGCTTGAGCATGTCCCAACACACAGGGGAAATGTTAATGCTACAGCCAAGCTTTGTCCTAATAGATGTTGGTGACCCACTTCAGAATGACACTACAGATGGATTAATGACAGTGATGGTAGAGGAGTGCAAACCTTATGGCCCTGTCACACCTTGACGATTTAGTCAGCCTATGCCAAACGTATCAAAATTTCTCTAAAATGCTGGCATATGCTAAAATATCGATGCTTTTTTTCGTATTAGTAAATTATATAGAACGTTTTGATTACTTATAAAAAACTTACACGAACGAATGCTCAGTGTGTTGCCGGCATTCACAACTTATGCCCAGTGATAGTCTAATTTATGCACAGCGCCCGGCAGCGTATCGCTGATTATCACATGTCATAGCCTATAAAAAGGCCGCTACTCGTCGATTCAAATCATAACCTAACTCTAGACATCGCAGTATCAAAATCATAATATCGCCATCACCCCATTTTAATATACCTATTCCCCTAAACTCTGCCAATACGCCATTATACGATAACTGTAAGTTAGAAACACGTTCAGTAAGTTTTTTTATCGTCTGGAACTCGTAACGTGTGTCAATGTGTGTCAACGATCGCTTAACTTACCTACAACTTATGGCAGCGTATGCGGAACGTACGTGCCATACGCTGGCATACATCAAAATTTTTTGTGCATGCACAAATCTTTTCGACGTTCTCGCCGTACTAGGATGTATACAGGCGTGCTTCAGCGTGCTTAACTTATTGGAAACTTATCAATAACTTATTCGACGTACATCAGCGTATATGCCATTTTTTTCATACGTCAGCATACGCTGGTTAAATCGTCAAGTGTGACAGGGCCATTACTAAAACTGCGAGAAATGCAATACAATTGGCACATGTTCAACAAGCTGTCTAAAATTTTTATTCATCTGCTGCAAGAAATTCAATACATTCATCTTTCTATATCTATATGCAATGACCTGTCTTAAGACAATCACTTTGGACATTAATAAACAAAGATTCTATGGAATCAACATCAACATAATTTAAGAAAAAAAGTCTTCCAAATTGTACTTTTCATTTGGCTGCTGATATCTTTGAAGGAATATTAAAATAAATATATTCTCATTGTTTTTCTGTAACATTCTATCTAAATAATATCTTATAAACTCTGTTTTCATGGAATTTAAAATGCAAATACTGTAGTTATTTTCAGATCAGTACCTCTACAGTATTTCAGATTGTTGTCCATATCAATGTTTCTCCCTTGTTTTTTTTTTTTTGTTTTTTTTTTTCATTTATATCGGGAAGCTATGATGTTAAATCTGTCGTATTGGTTGTATGATATGGCAGTTGTCCAAACAGAAGGCTTGTAGTGGAAAAATGAACAAAAACTACTACAATATGTGTGTGCTAATTTTGATTTTGTAAAGCTTTTCTTCATATTTTTTTAAAGATATACTGTCTGCATTGAGTTAAGAACATTTGATTTGCTGACCATCCATACTTAAGAAAGTTGTGCTTTCAATAAACTTAGGCCGATGCATCAAAACTGCTGTTCCTATATTTGTTGATTATTAATCAATTTTTATATATAGATTATTAATCCTTTGTTGTTGTTTTTTAATTTGTATTTCCCTCTAGAAATTTTGATGATGATTTAGAAAGAAATGATGATTTGTTCCAATGTAAATTTATGTAAAAGTTATAAACATTATTAATAGTATACCATTAATGTATTTCACATCTTTAATAGTTATTGGTAGCCTATTCCATTTAAAAGGGAAACTTAACTAGAGCAATTTCCGACATTTATGCTAAAAGCTCAAATTTTGCATATACCATTTAAATATTTCCCTGCGCATTTATTGTATAGAAGGGTTTTTGAGGATGTGGTTATTCGAGGGAGGCATTTATTTTTTGTTGTGTAAAATGAATACGTACTCAGATAAACGCCTCTTAATTTCACTGTAAATGTAGAACCTCAACTATTAATTACCATAAAATTTGTTATTGCGTGATCTTAAAGACTTATTAATCCCAACCAGGTTTGAAAAAATGTAATTCTACTGGAGCAGAATATTAATAGACTGTGTTGAGAATGATGTTGTTTCCATTAAATTGCTTACAGTCATTTAGGAGGGCGTTTATTCGAGGAAAAAATAAAAGTCTCATGGCGTTTATTCGAGCAAGGCGTTTATTTGGTCCTATTAAAATGAGCAATTTAACTTTTAAAATTACTTTTTGAGGGTTCCCCGATTTCACTATAGACAGTATATCTTTATTACATTGGTGTTAAGGAATACTTTTATTTGAAGATTTTAAAACTGTATATGTTTAGTTAATTCATATATTTATCAAAATACATTCTGTTTCATATTTTGGTTGAAAATTAACTATATATTTATTAATCTATAATAAAAATATTTATAATGGTGTACATTATTTTTACTTCTATAATATATATATACGTACAGTAACAAGATTTTATTTAAACCTTCGAAGTGTTTTTTTTTTCCAAGTAGTAGCTGAAAAGTAGTTGTGTTTAGTGGATTTATAAGGTACAGTAGTGTTTCTAATTATATTTGTTTCATAGTTATAAGTTCTTCAATGTAAATAGTGCGCGTGCGCGTGGTGGGGTTATTAATGTATGGCTGAAGCAAGTTGTCTCCTTATTGAAACACGATTTCCTTTTTTTTTTTACTTGTTGGAATATTTGTCTTTCAAAATTGTAAATTTTTATCGTGTTTTCCACCATTATTGAAGAATATCTTGGTTTTCATATACTAACATGTTGAAACCATAAAACGTACGTTTACCTGAATCTGAACCATCAGCAAGGCTTTTCCAATAATGAAATGTAGATGGGATGTCAAATCTTCATTGTAAATTACCCTATTTAGTATTTGTATTCAATTCATTTTGGCAAAACATAATACAGAAGCCGTACATCTATATTTGGCTACATTATATAATATTAAAATCGGTGGAGATATATCATCTACGAATGTGAATCGCCTAGTCGATGGCACGGGATATTTTAAATAAATTTTGGGCCCATCTGTTACATTGATATTGCGTGTAGGCCGGCATTACTCATCTGTGCTTTATTTAACAGGTCTAAAGAACACATTTTTTTTAAATCTAACACGCTGGTAATTTTTAATCATACAATATGAAGTGTTTTATATGATTTAGGTTGTTTTCGAAAGTTAAAGAAATTGGGACGGCTAAAACTGAATTTCGCACGAGCCGACGCCATCATTTATTTGTACTAAAATGCCTTGAAAATACTGAGCTATACATATTGTGTTGCAGTGCAAAAATATTACACACAGTTTCTTCGTCTAATCGCAACCGCTTTCTGATCTTTAGTTCAATCAGCGTATAATTAATGCACTTGCTTTGACCAACTTCCGTAAAAGATAAACCAAAACAACTTCAAGGATAAAATTAAACCAAAGATCATTTGGAGTTTATAAGATAAATAATGTGTTGTACTTTTATTGGCATGTTGCGTCTTCCAGTGAGTACCACAGTTTTGTATCTGTCTTCCAAAGTTATTTATTGTTATTAATTATTATGAATAATAATAATACTATTGTTATCATTATTATTGTTATAGTTGTTATTATTTAACTGCAGAATTTATTATAATAATAGATGTGTTCTACGATATTTCATGATATTGAGAATTTAAAAAAAAACCACTACATGTTATTTTTTTTCAGATATGTAAGACAGCTGTATCCGGGGTTATCAATAAGTTATAAGGGAATTTTCGATCACGGAGAATATTTACGTCATGTTATGTGCACTTTGATATGAGCTCATGACCGTAGGAAAATCAGGAATTTTAGCTAACTTAATTACAATCTCATACCATACCTTGTGATCGAAAAATTGGTTGGTTTATGCAATTAGGTATCAAGAATATTTAGTATTTGTACAGAAAATCTGGAGAGGTTGGAATAAAATGTCTGTTTTTGATCTATTGAAACAATGAAACGTTAATAAACAATTAACAACTCATTTTTTTGTTTCCGACTCCATTGCTAAACATGCATTTTCTTTTCCAATAAAAAGACCCATTATTTACAATAAGAGAACAGAACAAGACAGTTTTTTTTAAATAAAAGTAGCTTTATTAACCACTGAGTTGAAGCGAAAATATTTCATTTTAAGCCTCGTAAGAGAGTGATTATTTTGAAAAAGGAATTAAGCAGTTTTCATTGTTATTTAGACCCTACTCATCGAGATAATAATAACTGCATGCAATAATCAAATACTTATCCAACACCGAAATACATAAAACTACATGTTCAGTACTCTAGGCTTACCGGTATGTAGGCTACTATGATATCTCATGCAGCAACAAGAGACAATCACGTTTTTGCCGGATTACAATTTTCAACTCGTACCACATTCCTGTAGGCCTATTCATATTATTTATTAATGCACAAACCCAACATAAATGTTCGACCTCGTCACGTGAAAATTATTGGTCACGTGAGAATTAAACAAGACTTAATTGATAAGCATCTATAATACCATAGAGAAAATAGAACAGAATACCAGGCTTAAAGAAGCGGATACTTCGGTATTATTACTCTTGTACTGTCCTTGTGTAACAGTTTTCTCACGGCTTTAACATCATTCCGTTATACCACGTAATTCCTCAAGTTTATCTGATTTTTTTTCCAATCCCTCGCGCACCTTCTTAACCATTTTCTGCACCTAGAACAACTGTGATAAACTAATATTTTTTTTTATGGGGCCTTAATGCACAAACCCAACATAAATGTTCGACCTCGTCACGTGAAAATTATTGGTCACGTGAGAATTAAACAAGACTTAACTGATAAGCATCTATAATACCAGGCTTAAAGAAGCGGATACTTCGGTATTATTACTCTTGTACTGTCCTTGTGTAACAGTTTTCTCACGGCTTTAACATCATTCCGTTATACCACGTAATTCCTCAAGTTTATCTGATTTTTTTTTCAATCCCTCGCGCACCTTCTTAACCATTTTCTGCACCTAGAACAACTGTGCTTCTCATTCACAATTGAAAATATTCGTCTCTTTGTCTAGCGACGATATCATTTGAGGAGGAATCTTACTCAAATTTATGATTACAATTAGCCCTTTTCGACATACACGACATGCATAGCTACCACTGGGAGTTCGCTTTTAACAATACTGTAGGCCTATTACATTTTTGGTAAAGCTGTTATTGTTGAATAGTAATATTGGACACAAGGTCGTCATTGTATCTTAAACATGAACTTAAATTCGTTCTTAAGGAGCAATATACAGTATAATATTTTATTTGAGTTATACAGATAGAAAATCGCATAAGTATAAATACAACAGTCAATAAATCCATGAATCCGTACAGTTTATCATTTGCACTTGATTTAATTGGTTGTTGGAACTTACAACTCTACATTTTCTAAATTTATTCTGTGGTACCTTAAAAAAAAACACGAATGGAATGCTATTAAACAGGCACTTTTTCTTACGGAATTTCTGTGTTCTTATATTGAAGACTCAAAATATGTACAGGTACATTTAATTTTATACAACAGTTCAATCAATTTATACTAAAGATAATATGTCACGTTTGAGTTAAAATACAGGGCAATAAAGTTGTTTAATTAAAAATGTAAAACGATAAAACATTGTTCTTGCCAATTAAATAGTAATACCGTTTATATATTAATTTCATAGACTCTAAAATTAGTCGGTAATCAGTTCAATAATTTACGTATTAAAATATGTAAAAAGCGAAACAATTTTTCTCTGAATTATGGGAAGTCGGTAAATTATTTGATCAACTTTGATTGAGTATGCTATTAAATACGTTAATTGCATTTTTATGAGTTTCCATATTTTATGAGAGACAGTAGGCACTATATTTTTTTTTAATTACGCTTTAAGCAGTGGGGCTATTAGCTATGTGGTTAATATTCACTTCTTCGAATCTCGGTCCTGGATTCAAATCTAACAAGACTCTGGGTTGGAAAAGCCAACCGCTAAGATACAAATTCACTACAAAATCAGCAAGATGAAATAATATATACATTACATTCAAAACGATCAAGAGCACAGCTCTAGCTTCAAGTGTTTGTGAAATGATAGTTTAAATTATTTTTCTCATGACTATTATTATGTTCAACATATAGTAGTTTTTTAAAAGTAAATTTACAAAAACACATCATCACCACACATCATTACACACCAATTGACAGCAACAGAGGGGAACACCGCTCTGCCAAAGCTGGTCTCCCAGCTGCCTCCATTTTCCCCGAGGCTTCGTCTACCTCTCTTGTCTTTGAGAAGGGTCTATTAAGCATATATGTATTTATATTTATATAAAAAATATATGCCTTATATATATTTAAGTAATTTTCTTTGTGTACATCTGTATTCCTCGCGCTCACATGATTGAACACCTTATGGAATTTTTCTCCTCATCGTCTGGTTCTGTTTGGGACTTTTGTCTCCTACTACTCATTCTCTTTGATCTCCATCTAGAATAGCGTTTTGGTGTAAATGGAATTCCCTGTTGTGATCTCTTGACACCGCTGTCTACGTTGTCTTTTGCTTGGTAGTCTTCTGGTGACGTCATAATACGGGCGGCTTCTTTCGGTTGTAAGAACCATATCAGAGCTGGGTCAGTGTCTCCTATGTCCATGTCGGGATCATTTAAGGCTTCATATTTCTGGAAAACATAATTGTTCACAATAGATAGATGTGCAGATAAATTTGAAAATTTCTGTAGCGCCGGTTAAAACGGAAGTTGTCACTAGCGCTTTACAACAGAATAATGAGCAATAATAATAATAATAATAATAATAATAATAAATAATGTTAATAATAATAATAATTAGCACTTTGCAATATATTACACAATAAAGAGCAATAATACTAATACTACTAATAATAGATAATAGATAATAATAATAATAATAATAATAAATATACATAATGTATTATAGTGATAATAATAATAAAATAATAACAATAACAATATTTAATATAATGATAATAATGAGATAATCAAACAAGAATAAGAAAATAATAATAAATAATAATAATAATAATAATAATAAAAATAATAATAACAAATGATTAAAAAAAAAATCAAATAATAATCAAATAATAATTAAAGAGAAAGTTAAGTAGGTTAACATATTTTATCGGTATCAGTTTCGGTTAATAATATACAATTATTAAATATGCTGGCCGGGTTAGACTAAGCTTATTCTTGCAACAGTGAACGACTTCCACTATGTTTTTCCTATACTCTATAATCTTAATGTACTGTTTTAACGTAGGCAGACTTACCTGAGCTTTTTCCGCCTCAGCATACACATTTCTAGCCTGTTCAAGGTATTCCTATACGAACACAAGATGTTTCAGAATACAGTAATATTAATTAAAATGTAAATAGTAAAACTACACTTTTTGTATAAGAACACATTTTATAAGAATACTGAGGCTAAATTAATACAACTAAGAGCAGACTGAATCTGTGGTAAAATGTCAAATGAGGATTTTATTATTTTTTAAATAGATAAAGCAATAAATCTGATCTGTACCTTATGTGCAGTATAGGTGTGACTATGTAATACCCTCTATAATACAGTACAGTAATACAATAGTAATTTTCTATAGGCCTATTTGAAAATGTGTAAATAAGAACAAAATAACAATTAAAAAAAAGAATACTGAGCCTCAGCAAAAAGTTTATTGGTTCTTATATAAAAAAAAATGTACAGGCAAATAAAAATGAGTAAATGGTCAAAGGTTCTACGCAGATGAACGGAGGTTTGAGTCAGACCATAAGGTCAGACCATCAATCGTTTAATAGGCCTACCTGCAGGTTTGCATCTGTATGCACTGGTGCGTTCTGTCCTGTTTTTCGGGAAACGTATGGGCTCGCTGGCGCACGAAATTTGCCGCCAATAAGTTTGGCAGTCAGCAAGCTATCATTGCCTGTCTTCGGAGAAGAGCGATGCTCCCATCCACCGGATTTGGCGTCAAATTGGTACTGCAAAACATTAGGAATTCTTGGTAAATTTGATTGTTTAATCTGAACCAAACTCTGGCTGAAGTAAAAGGTCAGATTAGGTCCATATTTATTAACGTAAAGTAAGACTGTGTCAATTTATTTCAGACGATGAACAAGTTTGAAATTTTTAATCACGATGATCCTAATCTTTTTAAACGTCCACTGAAGACTTACTTGTTTGCCAAAGGCTGCTTTTTCCTTTTGTGTTTTTATTGTTGTAATCTGTTTATTTGTTCTTGTTGTTTGTGTGACTGTGCATGAGGTTCCTTAATAATGACTGATTTTATGTCTACCATTGTTTTCCTGAATTATTGAGGCTTGGCTTGCGCTTCATCCGCAAGGGAAAGGCGCAATATAAATACCCAATACCAGTACCAGTATTGCTTCCATCATTCTCTTTAATTGAATGTTTTCCTTTGTCTCTTATAATACCATTTCCTTTGTCTCTTATAATAACAAATATGTTTGTGATTTCCTTATATGGAAAGCATTACTAATAAAAACAACTGTTCAGCTATCAATCGGACGCATTTATCCAAATATGGTTACACTTACAATGTTTTGAATTACTGTTATACGTGATGTCATTATACAACAATTAGTATTCAAAATAAGTATTTGTTTAATGGGACCATTGTGTAAGGTCAGACAGATCTTAACTATAACAGAGTAATGGGTCTTTATAAACCATTTGGAATCGTACTTATTCCCTGAACTGATTATTATCTATGTATTAGAATGTGTGCGTTGGATAACTTTTGTGTTTTTTTAAAGTCTTACGTTAGTATAGATTCATATTGATGTGTTTATATACAATTTGAGGCAAAGTAAAATTAGTACGGTTGTTCCCCAATACAAACTATTATTAGGCCTATACTGTAGTAACCTTAATAGTAGCGGTAGTGTTAGTGTAGCGATGATAATATATAGCGATACTAATTAGACTTTATAGTGACGATAACCTTTAATCATTGATCGTTAATACTATTAAATGTGCCTAGTTAAATAATAATAATATGAGGATATAAAATATTAAGAATTATTATTATATTTAGTATATTATAATTATAGTTCCTTCTATTTTAGGTCTGAAATAAGCTTTAGTGTTTACATTTTGAAATATACTGAATAAATTTAATATTACTGTATATAAGTTATAATAGTACAGTTATTTTTAAGAAGTTATTTCCGCTCCAAAAGGACTAACTCATATGAAAATAACAGATAAGATAATCAATACGAATGAGAGTGAACTGAAGACGCCCTCAACCTACTTGTGGCAGTAACTTCCATGCATTGTTCGCAACATCGTCAACGGCATCCAAAATGAAATCGATTACTTCCTTCGAGTAGAAGAAAGGTAAGTTGAGTCGCACGAATCCCGGTCTACAAACACATAAAAAGCAATCTAGTGTGAGTTCAGGGGAAACATTAATTAGAACATTTTCCTTTCAAAAACATGATGTTGGTATTGTGAAAACAGGAAGTATATTGGACGTAATGTGATTTTAAAAATTACCCTAAAATTGCTCTATGCTATCAATAGTTTCATGGAGGATGTTTTGCTGAAATAAGACTCAGCAACAACTCGATATTTTGTCAACGTGAATCGGGAAGCGTACAGCCATTTAAAAAGAATAACTATAATCTAATCTAAGTAAGAGTTAGGTTACATAATACAAGAGTTTCCATTTGACACTGATTGGTACAGAAAGTATTCATACTAGGAAACAAAGGGAACGACGATGGCTAAACATGGGAAGATCAAGAGGATACTGCATATAGGCCTACTGCATATTCATACTGTATATATAGGCCTATATATCTGTCTCTTATACACATCTAGTAATAATGTGTACCACGCAGAAGTCAATGCTATGTTTCACTCAGCTTTTTTCAAAACGGAAATTATCTGTAGTAATGTTCCAACACTACCGGATAGTATACAGGCCTACGTCTATCGAAGTAGTTTAATAGGCTAATTCGTAGTTTTGAACCGCACAATTCAATCACCATGAAATTCTGGTGATAATTTAGTCTGGGGTCGACTGCTCACGGTTGAGTGCCCGACATTTGAAATTCGGTCGTGGGCTAAAAAAGTTCCGGAACAAGGATGGTTTCGAAAGACGTCGTTATAAAAATTTTATCCTATTACAATAATTTACTGTCATAAACACGCGGAAATAACGGTTCTGGTGCAGCGAATAAGAAAAGAACGAGAAAAGAGATCTCGCCCCCAATTATATTAATTTGAACTTTTGCGCAACAGTAGGCCTACATTCTAAAAAAAAGGTGTTGTGAAATGCGTCAGATAACGACGTCATGCATTAAATTTTAGCACACGACGAAGAATTCAGGTTCAACAGGGAACAGTTAAATTACAATTTAACTGTTCCCTGGGTTCAATAAGCATGGACAACGCTTAAAAGTTGAAAATGAATAAACCAACTTACTTCATGATTCCTAATGACCCAGAGAACGATTTACCTTGCTTGTTTTTTCTTTCTCTGAAAAACAGATGACAAAAATAAATTTTGAATGATAGTTTAAAATATAATGCAATGTCACTGTTGCTCGAGGCAGCTCCATTTGGAAAATAGAAGTGTTTTAATAATAAAATTCTTAAAAGTAGTATTAACTTACTCGTCGTCTAGTAAAAAGTAAACAAATTGTTCTGCTAAATCTTCATTTATTCCTAACAGATCCTGAAAAGAAAAAAAATATTAGGCCTATAATTATCAGTCATCTATAATAATCATCTTCATCATCACCACCATCAACAACATTACATACCACTACCATCACCATCACCAACATCATCATCATCATCGTAATCGTATTGTCATCATGTCATTGTCATCATCTTATTATCATAAATATTATCAATCATAATGATCATCCTCATCATCATAATGCCACTCGTTCTTACCTGAGCATATGGACCGGCACAGGCACATCCTCCCCTTGCCTGTATTCCATAAAGATCGTTCAAAACAGCGGCTACAAAGTTATGGTGCAAAATTCTCCCGGATTGTGGATTCAATATTAAAAATGAAAATATAGGCAAACGTTTCGCTCGCTTGCTGCCAAGAATAAGAATGTTGTCTGTTTCTCGCCATTTCATGAACGCTCTCCTCGTCAACGCATGCTCATTTCGTTCAATTTCCTCAATTCCTATCGACTAAATGTTGAAAAGAATCACAATGTTAATATCAAGTTATTATTCAATAAGTTATGAGACGAATTATACATTATAGTGTTATGGGAAGGCTAAGTAAATAAGTGAAGTCACTGCTTCCGGCATTTTAGGGCCACGAGTTTATATTGAGACTTACTATTTACAGTATAATATTAAATTCCTGCAAATTTGAGTTTTAGATGAATTGAGGTTTATGAAATCTAAATAAATATAACGTCAACTCAAGTGTATACGCGATGAATATTATCAGAACAATAACATTTGTGTAGACAGTTGTTTATTTTCTTAATAACTAATATATGTTGTCCTTTTGTGGTCAGTTTTTTAAATCACCTCTTTCACTTGGAATGTCAAACCGGCCCTAATGGATTCTAAAATAGCGGGCGTTCCGCCTTCTTCTCTTTCTTCGATATTTTTTATGTAATGATGAGTCTCACGTGTTACCTGAAAAGAAGAAAAGGAGACATATTTTATTAAAATATTTTAAAGAAAATTCTTAGACAAACGGTATTTAAAAATAAATATAATAAATATTAGTTAAATAAACATAGTTATTTTTCATGTGCATTTTTGCATATAAATCTCATTAACAAAACGTACAAATGGACAAGGCAAAAAAAAGAACATCCAAATAATTAAATAGGCCTAAATATAGACAATCTTAAAAATACAGATCCGGTGTTTTCTGTATTTTGTAGGTGGCCCGACAGGAAGTGCTGACGAAGTGGAATGTAGTTGGGTGGTGTCATTATTGTTTGGCGATGACAGAGTATAATTTTCATTGAAACATATCCGCTACATGAATGGTACCGGTATGTTAGTTATTTTCTGAGCAATACTTCTTAATTTAAGTTCGTCGTTTGTCTGTAATTTTTGCAACGTGTTGCAAACTCTGGTATTTATTTGAGTATTTTTTAAAATTATGGATTCTTAGGCCTCCTATTATTTAAAATTATATTTCTCGGTTTTCGGCTAGTTTTAGGTTGAACTCGCCCAAACATCGCCTTCTTCTAGTAAAATCACCACCAATGCATTATATACTTGTATTTTTCATTGAACATAATTGTGTAAGTAATAAAACCGTTATTGTCCTAGGCGGTTGCGATGCTAAACATTAATTGAATTATTGAATCCTTTTAATTATTCTAATGTTTCCACTTAAAACAAAATATTTAAATTTAACCGATTGACAAATTTATCGGTTTTTTTATTTTTATAATAGTTTTTATTAACATTGTTGTAATTTTAATATATTATTTTAGGTTCCATTTGTAATGAAAGAAATAAGAATATTGACCTAAATAATAATCTTATCAACATTTAGGGTTTTATCAATTTTTCATTATTATTATATAAAACTTTATCTAACTTTCTGTTTACTTTGGACACTTTATCAGGTTTGCTTTAAACAAATTTTGGCAAATTTCATTCCATCCATCCTAACTTTTATTGCAATCAAACGCAAGTGGAACTGAGAGAAATTCTCGATTAATGTGATATTTATTGTTTCATATATATTTCTTACTTACGTAAGCAACGGTTCCTCCACCAACAGTTCCCGGTGTCTTACTCATGAATAACTTTTTCTTGGCAATCAGAATACCTGTGGATATTGAAGTTACAAAGGTCAACCAAGCCTATATAATAATAATAATAATGATAATAATAATAATAATAATAATAATAATAACAATAATAATAATAATAATAATAATAATAATAATAATAATAATAATAATAATAATAATTATTATTATTATTATTATTATTATTATTATTATTATTATTATTATAATTATAATAATAATAATTATAATAATAGTAGGCCCTAATAATAAATCACTTCCATCACCATCGTAATCATCATTTAATTTCCGGGCAGCACAGTTGAATTTGCGATTTGCATATGATTAATATAGCCGGTGTTTTTACGTTGCATGTGTATCGTAAACCGTTACACGTTGTTAGTTTATCTGGGGAAGTCGAGAACCTCGGAAGCTAGTACAGTATGGTTACAGCTTAAGTTTCCATTGGGAAATGATAGGGTATGCAGTTGGCAACCCATGAGAAGGGAGGCCCCGGGATAAATATATGCGTTCTAGTGCGATCCAGAGTCGTAGAGGTGCTTGTTCGTGTTTGTGCTCACACGTGGATACATTCCTTGTTCCGAAGGCCAGAGTTCGATAGCAAGTTGTAACGCCTGTAGGAAACCGTGCCAGAAGCCGGTTCAGAGCGCTACATTCGGTTATGATCAAACCGCCATATCTTTTAATTATTAATAATCACTTTTTTTTATTTATTGTCATCCGTAATTGTCATGTTTATTATGTTAAAGCAGGGAAGTGATATATTTCCCTTGCTGAGGTGCCACATTTGAGAAAGGCAATTAAATTTCTTTATAATTAATTGTAATTTCTTGTATATCTATTTTGTTGTGGTCAGTGTTGTCATATCCGGTAGCTCATCACATTCCCTCTTTACTATTGAATCTAATCACAGATGTGGCAATCACCCTCATCATCATACTCATCAGTCTCGCTATCGATTTTATTATCATAATTCTTTACTGTGGTTATTATTTGTAATCCTCATCATCATCATCAAGATGACTTTATGTTGCGTCATTACGTCGTTCCACTTCCTACCGTAGTCGTGCAATCAAAATGCTCCCTATTATAAACTCACCTGGGGTACCAGGTCCACCTACAAACTTATGCGGTGACAGGTAGACCGCGTCCTTTGAAAAATCTTGTGTTGAATTACTGAAAAAACAAATGTAACATAAACATAAGTTAACGACAATCTTAATGTATGTCGAGTAGTAGTCAATTTTAGGGGCAAATTTTATGACATTCTTCAGACGTAATGAGTTTTTTAGTACAATAAACAACAGAAGAAGAGAATGGAATGTGGAAAATTTCGGAATTGCAACGGAAGAAATAAACAGTTTCATTAGCGGAGAACGTATGTATGGAAATCCACGTCGTAAAACGTCACAATGGTGACGCAAGGACGTTTACCGTTTTTATTATAACAGGTTAATAATCCATTGTTCGTGTACACAATAAAGTTTTTAAATATTCAATAAATGAATGCTTAGATTTTGAACTTACAAGCGAGTATAGTTATATCTTTTGTCGACTCATAAAATATTTAAATAATTCAACCTTGTATGCCCATTTGAGCTACTTGAGAATGAACTCATCAACCACCCTTGCATCTTATGTAGATATTACGCGCGCTTAATCAATCAATTAATTGTTTGCGCAAGTGACTACGCACGCTAAATCAATGCCCCGTTACATTAAACTCACCTGTCCATGTCTGGGTTCATGTCAATCTTTACATACGGAGCTAAAAATATAAACAAATGAAAAATCAAGTTGTTAAATTAAAAAGAAAAACATTGTAGGCTGGTATAAACCTATCCAAGTAGTGGGTGAGTTTAAATATTTGATTCATGAGATAAAAATAAATTTAAGTCAGGCAGCTGATTTTTCTAACATAAAATGGGCGTTTGACGAAAAACTTGGAAACAGGTAATGAGTTACGGATTTTTGGATATGTCTTTGATAGCCTATAGGCCTACCCTAGTTTTTAAATATTCAAATATCTCTACATCATTAACCGTTTTTCGTTATATAACCTTTTTGTGTCTTAGGAAAATCAGTTTTGCAACATATCAGCATTTTGTTTTCCTCCAGAACTCGGCTTTGAGTAATTAAACGTGTTGGCCATGTTTAAAAATTGATAGGCATATTATTGAATTGATTTGCTTTAAATTAGAAGTGTTTGCTTGTGACCGCTATTGTCTCAGTTAATGTATTGTTAGGTCACAGACGGGATACAGACAAGATAAATTGAGGTTTTGCCTTCTCCACCTTTCTTCATGTTGTCTTTTGTTCTAATTCCCTTTTATACTTTTGTTCAAATCCATACTGTTAATACTTGTTTGTTCTGCACTTCAAAATATAAATAATTATAATTGAAGTATCTTCATTAAAAATAATCAAAAGGAACGATAGATAGTGGTGGTATCATACAAAAACTTAACAGAAACTCGATCGGTGTGGGGCTTGGATTAAAACTCGATCGGTGTGGGGCTTGGATTAAAACACAATTATCATTCAAAATAACACACTATAAAGGCATACACATTCCGTTGACTTGTCATTACAATTGAAGAATGAACGCTATGTAATTTTGATAAATTTATTGGAGCAAATCGCGTGGAAATGGGTAACAAATATGATTTAGTAATAGAGCTGTATACCATTTTGGGCGTAACATTTAAGATATTATACCAATTAGGCCTACGTGTGACGGTGTAAGGTATTCAGTATTGTTCCGGAATTTGCCGCTTTAAAATTCCATTGGAGCAAATCGTAGACAAAAGGGAAACGGAAGAACTCTAATAGCCTATTATTTATTAGTGTCGTAGGCCCATTTGGCTGACATCTCTATAAGCATGGAGGAAATCAATGATATAAGAGAATTGCATCCATTTTCTTTACATGCATAGGCCTAAGCCAACGCACACTGATATTTATCTTATACCGGTAATGTTTATCTACAAAAAGTAACATTGTTAAATAATAACAATAAGTGACATTTATAAAGCGTTCCACATCAGAAACATATAGACATGCAAACAAATAGGCCAATTTAACAACCATGACCGCCTAAAAATCATTGTGTTGTTGAAGTACAGCCACTTTTGATTGGGGTCGTTCGCCTTTTTTTGTAACCTGGCCTAATTCTGTGGTTCCTTGCCAATCATCCTAGCACTCCATGAATTTTGGTTGGTAACATGTTAACTACAGGACTAAAACATTTTGGTTAATCTATCAAACTGATTAATTAAGGCTTGAAAAGTAGTTTTTGAAATATAATATTTTGAGCAAACATTTTTTCTTCTTTTTTTTTTTTGCGAAAAGAAAAGCCAACTCTGATTTTGAGATTTTGGGTCGCTTGGGCTTAGGACAAAGTATATTATAATTTGCTTTTTACAGTTACACTTTTATTTACTTACATTATATAAAATTAAGACAATATTAATATTTTGAAACTACTTTATATCATTTATTAATATAATTTGAAGTATATAAAACATGTGTCAAGATTGCTCACTTTTGAGGACTGACAATGTTGGTGCTGTGTGCTTTACCGACTTATCACACGAACAGTAAAGATATAGATATTAATCCCAAAACACTCACGTAGAAATAAACTAGAGTGCCTCAAATCAATATGTGTATGTGTGTATGTATATGTGTATGTATATGTGTATGTATATGTGTATAGGCTTATGTATATTGATTTTATTTTGGGTTTTTTTTTATAAATTTGTGTATTTTGATTATTTTTCTTTTTACCCTTTTTAATCTTATAATGTTAAATTCAATTTTGTCGTTTTGCAATAATGATTAATTCTCATTTTTAATTTCTTCTGTTTTTCTTCCTAAGTATTATAAATTTTTATTATATATTATATCTTCAATTTTAAATTGCTGTTTCTGTAAGGATGGATTAACTAGTTTGTGAGCTATAGCGATTTTAATTGCTTTTGTTAATCCTTGGCTCCTAAGATTTTCAGTTTTATTCTGTATTGTGAATTTTTTTTCTTTACTGCATGTGCAAATTGTAATGTGATTTTTATAAAAGGCTAAATAAAGAATGAATGAATGAATGAATGAATGATACGCCCTCATCATTACATACAGCCTATGTCGAGCACTGTATTATTTATTATTGTTGATATATATAATATTTTTCGCATTCTTATATTCCTCTTTATCGTTCATGTATGTATATGTATATATTACCGCAGGACGGTT